CAACACGCGGTAAAAAAAAAAAAAAAAAAAAAAAAAAGCTAGCAATCGAGGATGTTCCACTGTTGTTTCTAAATATGACGAACTTCCGCATAGGGAATACCGCCCCCATTTATCCTAAACTGCTTGCTGTGATGTCACATTCGATCCAATAACATCGCCAAAATGAATTTGAGAAAAAAGCTACAAAAGAGGAGGGGCGAAGTGAATACATGCCTATGCATCGGGCTGGACCCAGATGAAGCTGACATAAAATCCTTCATGCAGAGTGAGAAGCAAAATGGCTACCAGAGTGTCAAAAAAAACCTAAGCAATCATGGTAGTAGTAGTAGCCACGGCGGACTGTTCACCCCACAAGTGGGAGGTCAAATGCTACTATCAGAAACCCCACCAAATGAGGCACAAGAAAAGGACGAGTTTTTTTACTTCTTTAATCACTTTTGCTTTTACATAATCAATGAGACGAAACAATACGCCCTGGCATACAAAATGAATTTCGCCTTTTACCTCCCATATGGTTCCCTCGGACTAGACGTCTTAAAGAACGTATTCGATTATTTGCACCACCTGGATGTGCCAACCATTCTGGACATAAAAATGAATGACATTGGCAACACAGTGAAGCACTACAGGAAATTCATATTTCACTACTTGAAGAGCGATTCGTGTACAGCTAACATTTATATGGGTACCAACATGCTACGAGACATTTGCGTTGACGAAGAATGCAAAAGATATTATAGCACCTTTGTACTAATTAAAACGACCAACGCAGATTCGCACATATTTCAAAATAGACTTTCCCTCGATGGTAAAGAAGCGTATGTAGTAATTGCAGAAGAGGCACAGAAAATGGCCAAGCAGTTACATTTGGAAGAAAATGGTGAATTTGTGGGCTTCGTTGTGGGCGCAAACTGCTATGATGAAATGAAAAAAATAAGAGAGCTTTTCCCTGACTGCTACATTTTAGCACCAGGGGTCGGTGCCCAGAATGGCGACTTGCGAAAATTTTTATGTAATGGTTACTCCAGAAATTATGAGAGAGTGCTCATCAACGTTGGGCGCGCCATAACGAAAAGCGCTAATCCGCAGCAGGCGGCCCAGGAGTACTACCATCAGATTAAGGAGGTCCTGGCGGAGCTCCAGGAGTGACGCGCGTGCATGTGTAAGTTCGTCATTGTCGGAATACCAAGATGTGACTTCTGCTTCAGTCCCATGCGTGATGTACATTTTTTGTCTGTAAATTTTTTTCCCCCGTTGGGGTAATTTCCCCGATGTGGCCATTTCCGCAGAGGCACCCTGCGTGGTGCTAATTGTACACAAAGGGTAGCTACGGAGCGACCGCACCCGTCTGTGCCATGTGTTTCGTGTGGAAGTCCCACCAGTTGGCGAAATAACGCACACATTTACTCCTCCACAAGGGCATGACCCCTCTACTGTGCAGGCGTAAAAAAAGTATCCCAAGTGGGAAAATGAAAAAAAGTTGCACACGCGCATTAATTTGTGGCCGTGGAAAAAAAAAAAAAAATAATATGAACAGGTCATGCGAAAAAAACGCATAAACTAATTTTGGCTATTTTCATTTTTAATCAACTAGGTGCATCCATATGCCATGCCCCGCAGGGAGCGTGCAAGTAAATTCATCTCGGTCACCCAACAGGGCTACTTCGTATGGTTCCCTTGCAAGGCTGTTCCGCGTGGACGCCCAAAACGGCTGCTTCACATGGCCGCCGCCGCCCCAAAATAAACAGACTGGCCATACTTATAGGCTAAGTAACCGGTTAGTGAAAAATACATGACTCGGTATATGCAGTAGCAGCAGGAAATGCTGCACCAGAAAATGGTGTACAGCGCCCCCCCTAGGAGGTAATACAATGGGCTGACCATCTTAGGGAAGGGAAACCAAAACTGTGGGGAAGGGCTAGCCACTAAAGAGCTGATGTCCTAAAGTTGGTTCTCTTGCGCATACAATCCAACTACACCCCTTCACACCTTTGTAGTTTATTCTTCCGAAATTTGAGTGGCCTCTGCAGAGGGGTAAAAAAAAAAAAAAAAAAATGCACAATTGGTCAGTCGTAAGCAGTGGGCCCCTTTCAACGTGGCCATAACAAAGTCAGAGGACTAGATGAACACAGCTTGCCGTTTCCCCAACGAATTCATGCGATTCGCCGAGCTGCCACCACAAAAGGGAAGAGCAGGAAGGAGTGGACAAAAAATGGTCAAGGCAAAATGTGCACATATATGGGGAGGGCTGCCTCACTTTCTTTAATCTTCTGTCTGAGCTCGTATCTCTTCATGAGTTCCGATACGTCTGCATCCGATTTTTTTTCACTCTCGCCTTGGGTGTGCAGGAAAAGGGCGATATAGGAAGGGCACACGTGAAATGAGGAAAAAAAAAAAAAAAAAAAGGGGGCAACCGTAAAAAGACGCAAAAAAGGTAAGATTGAAAAGGCGAAAACGGAATGAACAAAACGTAATGACACTGGACCAAGTCGGGTATACTTTTCATACACTGAGTACAACGGCCAGGCAAAACAAAATTGCGGCCGACAAATGGCACGGCTTTTTTGTGCACATTCGTCCACACAAGC